GAAGACCCATGAGGCACGCTGGGATACACTACCAGTTTGGTGTAGGTGAGAGGACTGACGTCTTTTAGAAAATTGTTTGTTCACATATTTTTAACCCACCAAGTTCAGATAGGATAGTGTACTAGAGCCTCAGTTAAGCAGAAAGTTTAGTCACCCAGAAGTTACTGCTCCTGATGAAGACGGGTTGCCTGAAGTATTGCTATGACACATGGAACTTTCTAGAAGTCCTGCCAAATGCACTACCTGATCACAGCTCCCACAGGTCTGTGCGGAAGACAGACCCTTCGGTTATACAAAAACTCTTTAGATATACAAAGAGTCTTCAGAATAATCATGAATGTGCAGATTATGGAAGATGATACGTGGATTTCAAAAATCTTCTGCACCAAAATAAACTCCTACTTTAAATCCATTTTTTCCATGAACTTTTCAAAGTCCCTTTACAGAGGAAGAAGTGGAATAAATGCAACAAGTAAAAATACATATGGACAGGAGTATCTATGCACCTTAGTCTTCTAGACAGTGCTAAAAGACAATGATATTCAACTCTTACTCAATTCTGACTGTATGCAGGGCATTATGAATACGCAGCTAGCAATATGAAAACAATAAAACAATAGCATTGTCACCCCTCAGCTTACTTCAATGGTCTCTGTCTCTTCTTTCAGTTACTTATTCAGTTCATAACAAGTATTTTCAGGTGCTCTCTTACCAAATAACATTAAATGGTTTTTCATGAAAAAGACTGTATTTTTCCCTATAGCAAAAAAAACATGTTTATTTTTCCCCCACCAAAAAAAAAAAAAAAAAAAAGACTTCTAAAAGCTTAGCCAGTCTAGTTTAGATTTGTTTACCTCTTGTAGGCCATGAGCATCCCCATATCCCTGATGCCTAACTAGAATAGTTTAATTGTTTTTGCTAATTAAATCTATTCTTCAAAATGACCTTCCATCTGCCTCCTGTTCTATAAACTTTCCCTCTCAGAAGGACCATGCAGAGATCTAACCAATGCCTTACCAAGGAAAGCACCTGCCTCTATTGACTTGACATGTCATTGTGAGCACAGCTTTTCCTGTGGCATAAACAAAAGGCACAAAAGTAAACATTGCTTTTACCCAGGGCACACACTCCCTCTCTTTCTCTGTGGCATAATGCCCATCAACATGCATACGTATTGAATATGTTGCAAAGAACTAAGCAACACTATTTTAAAAGATTAAATGATGAAAATGTCTTACCCTCTTAAGTTCACGAAGACTTTTCCCAAAATGTCTCAAAATTAGGTTGAAGTTTTCACAGAGGGCAGCTCAGGGAAGCCACTCTTGTGTTGGTATTCTGACCACTTCTCTGATGGTGCAGGAATTTAAACTCTGCTGCAGCTCTTCCCAGCCAATCAGCCTCGGGCTGGCAGTGACTGACATCACAAGGTGTCACCGGGACCCCAGTACACCCACACTTCCTCCAGCTGGCAGAGGCAGCTTTTCCCTAAAAAGCTCTTGTGGTTCCCAAATGACTACACTAGTTTCCATTAAATTGAAGATCTTTCTAAAGCTTTATTTTGATTTCTAAATATATGTCATTCACATCCATGCAGTCTGATGGACATTATAAACAGTGACAATGTCTTCTACCCACTGAGAAATCCCACCAGACCAAGGATGGGAAAAAGAGAGTAAGGGGTAGGTAGAACGTTTCCTGTTAATGTACATTTTCAGGCTGTAAGTGAAGGACGCTACTAAAGTACGGATTGTCTTAAAATGTCAGTGTTAAGAACAGGACCTTTTATTTCTTCCCTTTTCCTCTTTTTAAAGAACTACTACTCATTTCCTTTTCCTCCTCCTTCTCCTTCCATCTCCCACCTCCAGTATTCACGGAAAGGTCCCCTGATCCTTACCAATCTTTTTTAAAAGAGGTTTTTGCCTTAGGGCACATAATCTCACCAGAGAAAGAGACAGAGACAATGAGAGTAAAAGTCGGAAGTGACCCTCTAGAGGGGATGGCCACACCACAACCTGTTCTCTATTCTCTTCCTGGGATCTTGGGCATGCGCGCACACACACACACACACACACACACACACACACACATGTACCTGGCATGATTTTCAAGCTACTGGGTCTGGGACTTGAACCACAATCAGCCTTGTGAGAGTCCAGTGATGTAACTGCTACGCCACCTGCTGGTCCCAATCCTAACTAGTCTAATGTGGTACCCACTGACCCAATTCTATGGTGTCTACAAGTGTTAAAACACCTCCCGGGAATAACTTTTGTTCTTTGCCCAAAATAATTTAAATCTAACACTTCAATTATTTCTGCATTGCTTGCCACATTTTGGTGACTCTATGAAAACAGAATTGGATTAATGAGAATACCAGCCTGTTAGCATCCAGAGAAACTGATCTTCAATCCGATGCCAAATGGAATGGAAGGAGTAACATGAGGTTTTCCGGAACTCTCTCAGGAAGTGCACTGAGAGTTGTAGCTGGAAGTGGGTTTGGCACCTCCCAAGGAGTATGCTCAAGTAACAATAGGATGACCATCCAACAAGTATTTAAGGACTATAAGCCACTGGGCTATAATTTCTGCAAGAGCAGGGATGTTTGCTTTGTTTCCTGCTGTATACCCAGGTCTCTTCTACAGAGAACAATTCTTGGGTCATGAGAAGCACTCGATAAGTACTTTTTGAATGGCCAAATGGATTGGTTTGAAAATGAGCCAAAATATCGGGAACCAGCAGTTAGCGTAATGGCTATGTCGCTGGACTCCCACGTAGTCGACCGCGTCCCGGACCCGGTGGCTTAAAACTCACGCCGGGCGCGTGTGCATGCGTGCCCAAGATGCTGAGAGGAGAATGGAGGAGAAGGGATTGCGGTGTGACCATTTCCCCTGGAGGGTGATTTCTTGCTTTCTGTCTCTCTGTCTCTGTCTGTCTGGAGAGCGCACGCGCCCTATAGTGAAAACCTCTCCAAAAAAAAAAAAAAGAGCCAAAATATCAGATGGCCTGCAGTGCTCACGTGACTCAATGGCATTCTTTGGAAGCATTACGAATGTTCAAAATTTTAGGTGATGTTTATAATAGCATGAGTCTTGAGACCTGGGGTGGGTGACTTTATCCAAGAAGTTAATGTCTCATTTGTAAATTGTTAACTTATTCAGTGCGAACTGATAACATGGGGGTGAGGGTGAAATAAACAAGGAGAGGAGTCTATTTCCGGATAGAGTTGATTAGAAAACCATAGTTCCTATGGCAAAGCTATAAATCCCCTGTGTTCTGTTCTGGTTCTGAATTATACACCTTGGTGACATCGTGGGTCTTGACTGAAGTCTTTCCTAGAAGAACCATTTTTCTTTTTTAATTGCCAGAGGGTGCATACAAGGGGCGGGGGCAAGAGAGAAAGCACTCCCCAGTGAAGATAATCACACTGCAATCCATTTACCTCAATTTCTCCATCCCATCAGAATTTCGGGAATCTATGCACATCTGTCAGCATATTTTTCAAGCTTCCAGAGCTGAGATGCAAACCACAGTTAGTCATGTGGGAGCCAGCTTCCAACACACAGCACTTAGCCACTTTTGGGGCTAGTCCCCTAGAAAAAACTTAAAATCTTATGTCAGAGCAGATTCTGGGAAGATTGAAGTGCAGGAAACTATAGGACGTTATTTTAGACTCTCTCCAAATCCCTAAGTAAAAACAGGAGCTGGGATCAACAGATGGAGTAATGGTTACGTTGCTGGACTACCACATAGTCAACCACAGTTCGAGTCCCAGACCTAGCAGCTTGAAACACACTGGGCGTGTGTGTGTCTGTGCCCAAAATCCCAAGAGGAAAATGGAAGAAAAGGGATAGTGACATGGCTATCTTCCCTAAGGAGTAATTTCTTGCTTTCTGTCTCTATCTCTCTCTGTCTCTCCAGCGAGTACACATGGCCTATAGCAAAAATATCTTTTAAAAAAAAAGCACAGGATATAGACACTAGAGAAGGCACAAATAAGTGTGGGAGAGGAAAATGGATCCAGGAAGTCTTAGAGAGAAACTTGCTAGGGGCAGCAGGTAGCATAGTAGTTAGGGTATTGAACTCCCACATGGCCAACCACGGTTCAAGTCCTGGGCCTGGCAGCTTTCATTCTCACTTTCCATCTCTCTCTCTATGGTGAGCTCACATACCCTACAACAAATTTAAATAATGATAATAATAAGAAGAAAGACACCTGCTATAATACAACATAAAAACAACAGGAGAGGGAGCTGTGTGAAGTTAAAGACTACCCTGAACATGCGCCCTTCAAAAAGTACAGGAAAACCAATTTCATATAAAACAAACAGCAAAAACTATAAAAGTTAAATCCAGTAGAAGCAGGATAACAACAAAATAAACAATTTAAACATCCCGAAAAGACATAATTAAAAATTAAATTAAAATATAACTTTCTTTTTAAAAATAACAAAAGAAGTTAAGAAAAAAACAACATAAATAAAAAGTAGAAGAAATCAGAAAAAAAAACTTGAGATAAAAGAAAAACTTATTTCAGATATGAAAACTGATCTAGAAGGAACGCAAAAGGGAATAAATACAATAGATAACCTCTCTAAAAAATAGAAAGTAAAATAGAAGACAATGCTTGAAATTTAAAAGAAATCAATAAAGAGAAAAAGATATTTGGGAGAAAATGACATATTAAAGAGACAAGGAAGACTCGAATTAGCTATAGAAGTTCTAAGGAAGCTAATAAAAGGTAACAGTAGAAATACTGAAAGACAAACAAACAACAAAACTATAAGTCAATAAATTTTCTCTGAATTAAAGGAAAAAATGAAAACATTTAAAGAAAACACCATGGGGCCAGCCCCCTGTACCCTAGTGATTACGGCCAACTGTAGTTCAAATCCTGGCCTCAGTGGCTTAAAAAAACACACCAGGTGTGCATATGTATGACCCCAAATCTCCCAACAGGATGAAGAAATGGAGAAGGAACTAAATTGTGACCCAGCTCCTCTGGCAGGTGCTTCCTCACTCTCTATCTCTCTCTCTCTCTTTCTCTCTCTCTCCTCTCCTTCTGGCTCTTTAATGCATGCATCCTCTGGCAATTAAAAAAAAAAAAAAAGAGTACATCATGTACCTGAAAATGTCAGCCCAGATTGAGCAACATGAAGACATAGTCTAATAAAATGACTGGACCTTGAAGATAAAGAAGAAAGTCCCTTAGGCTCCCGGGGAAGCAAAAAGTCATTTACAAGGGGAAAAAATTAGATCATCATGACTTCAGCAATGCTTTGTACCAAGACTTTCAAGATAAAAAAAAAAAAAAGAGTTAAAGATTATAATCAACAAAGCTGACTTTCCAAATATAAAGTACCCCCCGAAACTATTGTCAACATGATGCAAAAAAAAAAAAAAAAAAAAAACTAGAAGAAATATCGTTTCCTCCAACACTTGCTGGGGAATCTGAGAATGAGATTGAAGAAGAGAATAAACTTTAGAAAACCAAAATAAGTAGAGAGTTATTGTCATAAAAACATGTGGTGAGAGTTAAACAAGTAGATATGTGTAGGAATAAAATTAAATGAAGCTATGGGGCCAGAAGGTGGTGTGGTGGTTAAGGTGCTGGAGTCTTGCATGATGGACCGCAGTTCAAGTCTCGGACCTGAATTTCTCTCCGTGTCTCTCTTTGGTGAGCTCGTGTGCACTATAGCTAAATAAAAAATAATAGTAATAAATTAAATAAATAATCATTTTAAAAATTAAATGAGGCTAAAAGGGAGATAGGCTAGTACGTAATTATTTTACACCTTCTTTCCATAGATATGGTATAACTTTTCATAAGATGATAAGAACAGAGAAAACATGTGAAAAAATAATTTCAACTGCTCTGAGGAATTGTACTAGTGATGGTTAAATTTTTGTTATTCTGAGAATGTTATGTGTGCAATGTGGGATAAAATAAATTAATAATTTTGGATTACTTTATTTCTTTCAACTAATATAATATCAGGATTCTCAATGTGAAAAAAGGAGATATAAATGACATGGAAAAGATTAAGCAAGAAATTCCATAATCCTGTAATCTGGAATTTAAAAAGAAAAAAATATAATTTACTCAAGAAACTTGTTTTTTAGAGAGGTTTTTGTTGTAAGACATGTGTGCTCAGTGGAGAGACAGACAGAGACAGAGAGACAGAGACAGAAAGACAGAAAGTGAGAAATCAACCCCCTCCCCACAAAGGAATGGCCATGCCACAATTCCTTCTCCTCCGTTCTCTTCTCAGGATGGCCATGCTGCAATCCTTTCTCCTCCAGTTC